AGGTCATTAGTTTAAGGTACATATATTCCGATTGATTTACCAACTCTTAAACTAGCCTTCGCTTAAGGTACAAATCTAGAAAACCGAGCAGTAGAATACTAACTGTCGGGTTGGGTGGTATCCCAAACGAGTGCCTCTAGTTTGGTTTATGGATCCCGTATGTATGTTTTTACCCAAGGCCACCGAATATGTGTTTTATACCCGCAAGGCCCATTCTAATCAGAGGTCTATCTTAGAGGTCTTCTAAGTAGCCTTAACAATACGATTCATTAGTTCATTATTCTCAATTTAACAATTCATGATCGTCATTCAGAATATTCATCATCATTAATTCATCATAATCAACAATCAAACAATCGTCATAATATCTAATAACAAATAGCGGTCTAGCATCGAGTGTTAACATTCGAACTTACCGTCATGCATCACATAATGTCAAAAACATCATTTTTATTGTACAAAATCATAGTGATGTTGTTCATAATTAATTGGTTTCAAAAATAGGATTTTATAGCTCAAAAATAGCTTTTTTCGTAGCTGACTGTGTTCGGAACGGTCGACCGTTTCAGGCGACGGTCGACCGTTAGAGCCACCGTGGTACTGGAGTTTCTGGTCTTAGAACGGTCGACCGTGGTGACAAAACGGTCGACCGTTGCTGCATACCAGTCAACAGTACTTCATCTTCAACCTTGGGTTAAGTTTTCAAAACATCATTTTAAGTCACCAATCTTCAATTAAACTATATAGAAATCTTCTCCAATGTCCATACATCATTTAAATACCATTAATTCGAAGTTTTAACAACAATTTCAAGGTTTATGATTCTTGGTTCTTCGAGTATGTCAAACACAAAACTCAACCAAATGACCAATTATGAACGTAGAAACGACCTATATGAACATTCTAGTCATTAGATATATCTACGGGCTTACCTCAAAGTTAAACGAGGATTCTGACGAAAGAACGACAAAACTTCCGACGACAAAAGCTCTCAACTCTGGCGACCTCTCACGAAATCGAAAGCACCAGTGTGTTCTTCTCTCTTAGGGCAACATAATCGAAAGAAATATGGGATGATTTGGTGGAGAATTGATGGAGTTAGGATTTCTTAAATAGATGAAGGAAGAAGAAGCCAGCTGAAGAAATTTCCTGAATATTTGGTGCGGCTATTGCGCCGTTTGAATCAGCTGCGCCGTTTGGAGTGTAGTCCCTGGTTGGGACTAATTTCTGGTCCCAGTCGGGGTACACTTTTTGGTTCAACTTTCTCCAAATTGAAATCCGATTGAACCGTTGGGGTCAGACAGTCAAACTCTACATAATGATATAATTTTTATTATTTATTGACAAACTTTATAAATCACTTACTTTTTAGTCCTTCTTAGTAATTAATTAATTATCAATTAATTAATTTTGATAGGCCTAATTTCAGGGCGTTACAATGCTGCTGCCTTTTCGGCATGATTCCCATCGCTTTCACTCTTGGAGATCGGCACAGAAGAATTCTTCGTCCTCATTGTAGAAATCAAACTGTTCTTGAGATCTCTGAATCTTTGGGTGGAGGGGGTTTTTTCAACTTTTGGAGATGTCAAAGAGGTTGGAGAGAGATCGAAAACTCAAAGGTCGCACGATGAAGGAAGAGATGTTTTGGGAAGGTTTTTGTGTAAACTCTTCCGACGTCGTTTCACCCATTTTTGATTTTTTAAATTTAAACTTGAAACGGCGTGTATGCTCCGTTAAGCGGCCTTCTTTTTTGTTTTTTAAGAAGCGCGTCTCCTTTACACGCTTGGACATTTCCGTCAATTCACCTTTACCGGGTAGTCCACCAAATCTGAAACGTTTAGAGGGCATTTTGATAAAAACTTCATTAGAATAATCATTGTATTTTTAATGTATTGTAAAATTTATATTTTTTATCATGCTAATTTATGTTTTATATTGTTAGTAATACAAGAGAAAAGAATCATTTTTTAAACAATGGAAGGGTCGAGAGAGAGAACAAAACATATAAAATAATAGGATCTTAAACCCAAGGTTTTAAAATAAGTGCGGGGAAGAAGAATACTAGAATCACTAATGGTTTTATAGTATATTATTTGTATTAAGGGGTAAGAACAATTATATGTTTGTAGGAATTCAGTAAACCTAGATCATTTAAATATAAAATTTAAATGGTATTTTAAAAAATAAAGCTATTTTAATAATTCATATTGTATAATCGAAAACCATTTTGTTCTATCTGTGCATGGCACGGGCTAAAATACTAGTGTGTGTCTATATATATATATATATATATATATATATACACNGATATATATATATATATATATATATATATATATATATATATATATATATATATATATATATATATATATATATATATATATATATATATATATATATATATCAATTTCAGGAGATTTTGTCTAAAAGAACCACTGAATGGACCACTAACACATCGGTTAAAAGGTATAGGGAGCGAATAAACATTAAAAATAATTTAGGGGCCTATTAAGCATTTTAAAAGATATAAAGACCTTGTAAGCATTTAAATTCTTAAAATAATTCAGAAACTTAACAAAAACTTTTACAAAATATAGAGACCTTTTAAGCACTTTAACCTTTTTTATTAATTTACAATTTGCACAATAAAGACAACCACTCTTCCATCTCAAAATAAAGTTATATAAAAATAAAATTCAAAGACTCAAACAAATCAATCAATAAATCAATCAATAATTTATAAAAGAATGAATGCCACCTCAATCCATTGGCTATCATTCCATCAAACCACTAGTTTTGCTCTGCTTCATCTCTTTGTCCCCTCTCCTATATATCTCTCATTTTTTTCTCTTTCTTTTCTCACGGGGGAAGAGCTTGGTTTTTTATTCTACTCGCTTTCCCCTCCTCGGCTCATCCTTTTATTTTTATTCAAAACTCTTTAATCATTTGCTTGAAACCCTAAAAAGAATCAGTAAATTCTTTTTTAAAAAAAAGAAAGAAAAAAACACCATTCTTCTCTTAACAGTATTTTGAAGGGAGGTAAACAGTGAAGGGGGCCCTATCTTGTTTGTCTCTTTGGGAGAAAAAAGACTAATAATTCATTTGAAAATAAAGTAAATAAACAAACAAAGACCCTTTAAATTATGCCCACATTTCTTTATCTTTATCTTCATCTCCTTCTTCGTTGACTCGTTGGTTCCCCGTTCCAAAGCCCGTTTTCTGTAACGCTCCATCGATCTACGGTCCAAAGTTCAGATCTTTATGAATCTACGGTAAGATCACTCATTTCTTCGTTCAATTCTTGATTTATCCTCCCTTTTTTCATCGGATACTTGTTGTTGTTTGCGATTTAGGGTTTTTTGGTGCGAAAATCTGACTCGGAAGTTTGTTTAATGGGAGGTTTTGGGTTTTCGAACGCTGAGATTTATTGTACGATTCATATTTTTGTTGCAGATCTAATTTGAAATTGAATCGTTTCTTTGATTTCTCCATGTCTGGAGAGATTTAGTCGGATTATTTTTCATCGGGATTTATCTATCGCGAGAAATTTTGGGGCTATCAAAAGATGTCGCTTTTGCCCAAAAGCGATTCCGTCCAGATCCGAGAAGTTTGGGATTATAATCTGGACGAAGAGTTTGCCCTAATCCGTGGAATCGTTGATGATTATCCGTATATCGCCATGGATACCGAGTTTCCAGGGATTGTTATCCGGCCCGTTGGCAATTTCAAGAACAGCAACGATTACCATTACCAGACTCTCAAGGACAATGTGGACATGTTGAAGTTGATACAGCTGGGCCTCACATTCTCTGATGAGAAAGGTAACCTCCCCACCTCCGGAACGGACGACCGTTACTGCATCTGGCAATTCAACTTCAGGGAGTTCAACCCGAACGAGGACGTTTTTGCCAGTGATTCGATCGAGTTGCTTCGCCAGAGTGGGATTGATTTCCAGAAGAACACAGAGAAGGGTATCGACGCAAGGAGGTTTGGGGAGCTTCTCATGTCCTCTGGGATTGTGCTGAATGACAGTGTTTACTGGGTCACATTCCACAGCGGGTACGATTTCGGGTACCTTCTCAAGATACTGACATGTCAGCCATTGCCGGAGACGCAGTCGGGGTTCTTCGCATTGATCAACATGTATTTCCCTGTGGTGTATGACATCAAGCATCTGATGAAGTTCTGCAATAGCCTCCATGGTGGGTTGAACAAACTCGCGGAGCTGCTGGAAGTTGAGAGAGTCGGGATCTGCCACCAGGCTGGTTCGGATAGCTTGCTCACCGCTTGTACCTTCAGGAAGTTGAAAGAAAACTTCTTTAGTGGCTCTATGGACAAGTATGCAGGTGTGTTGTATGGCCTAGGAGTTGAGAATAACCATTGCTGAAAAAAAATTAAAAAAAAATAATAAAAATAAAGAAAGACACTGTTAGGTGATTGTGAAGTACGTGTGTGCTTGAAAAAAGATGTCTTTTTTTATCTTGTACACTTAGAGTAAAAGTGTGTGTTGTAATGTTATTTATTTATCTTGGAAATCTCTTTTGAGCATTAGTTTCTAGTTGCTTTTTTTTTTTGTGTGTGCTGCTGCTGCCAAACCCAAGCCAGTTCCAGTTTGGGTCTAGTCGTTAGTTAGACGTATTATTTAATTCTTTTTTTAATTAAAAATCACAATTTGAAAATCAGAAAATTAGGATGAATTTTGTGGTCAAGGTTTTGATTTTGAGCTCTGCAACCAAGAAAAATGCCAAATGTTTAATGCTCCCGTCCTCTTTTAGATTACAATATTCCATTTTTGACAAAATTATGGAAGAGTCAAATCAATTTTTTTTCTCAAATACCTCTGTTACTTTTACGCCTTTCAATAGGGAGGTGGGGTAAATAGTTTAGGATTGGAAAAGTGGGTGAGATTTTGACATTGAAATGATAAAATAATGACCATTACTTAATCCAAGTACTCAAAATGGGGCACATTACATTTAGAGGGAAATAATGAAAATTAAAATCCAAAAATTTCATTTCCCCCTAAAATTTCATTTCCTAGCCTTCAACTCCTTGCTATAAATAACAACATTTACTCCTTCCATTAATAGCACATCTCTGCAATTTCAATCCTCTCTTCAATGCACCTTTTTCTCCTATTTGATCTTTATCAATTACCCTCAAAAGTAGGAGGTCTTGAGACTAAAACTCTTGCTGCAATTTCTCCAGCCCTTCAGTCTTCTTCAATGGACGTCTTGCTCCGGCCAATTCTGATCCTGGTGCTGAACGGCAAGTAGCTGCAAATGAAGCTGCTCTCCTTGCTTCAACCTCTGTGCACAGGGCAGGGCACAACTCATCACCTGCACAAGAAGAAGAAAACCAGCTGCAAACGAATACCAATACCAAGCCAAGGTTGTCAAACGCGGTAAGAAAGCGCATTGTTGATGTATTATTATCTACTTCTATGAACAACTTCAGAGGGGGTAATTCCAGCACTTGTACAAGAGTACAAGACATGTTATAAGACCATTTACCTACTGTGGGCAAGAGCTAGAGAACAAATGCAAGGATTACCCGTTGATGTTGACACACAAATGAAAGGGTGCGTTGGTAGAAAGAAATTGGATTTAGATTTTCAGAAGCTTACAAATGTTCCTTTATGCAAAAAAAAATATGAGGGCAGTGGCCTCTCAATTAAATGTGTCAAAGAGTACTATACATAGACTCTTGAAAAAAACAGATAAAGAGACATTCGAATGCCATAAAGCCACTGCTGACTGACATGGGTAAGATATAAAGGATACGCTTTTGTTTAGGTAACTTAATGTCTCATACCGTTCCCATGAACCCTACTTTTCATCACTTTTATGACCATATACACATTGATGAGAAATGGTTTGAGCTAACCCAAGAAACAACCACATTTTACACCCTCCCAACTGAGGAAGACCCATAAAGAACCACACAGTCCAAAAAGTTCATTCCAAAAATTATGTTTCTAGCAGCATTTGGGAGGCCAAAGTTTCAAAACAATGGAAAAATAGTGTGGGATGGTAATTAGGTGGGAATATTTCCCTTTACATATTAGAAAGCTACAAAAAGGAACAACAAGAATAGGCCTGCAGGAACACCCGGAAACAAAGCCAGTAAAAATTGTTAACAGGACTGTCATGAAGGCCATGATTTTTAACAAAGTCATACCAGCTATAAAGTCTAAGTGGCCTAATCCCCATTATTGGTACATTATCATACAACAAGATAATGCCAAACCACATGTAGACCCTAGTGACATTGACATTGTTCAACTTTGTCAACATGATGGTTGGGATATTAAACTTCAATTCCAACCACCTAACAGTCCAGACTTAAATGTCTTGGACTTGGGATTCTTTAGAGCTATTGACACAATCAAAGATTAGAAAGCTCCAAAGAATGTCACAGATTTAATTAGTGAGGTGGGAAATGCATTTGTTGAAATGACTCCAGAAAAACTGAATAAACTCTCCTTAAGCTACCAATGTGTTATGCAAGAGGTTATAAAAAAGAAAACCCTTCAAATAAGAGTAAAACATATACCATATCTTTAAAATAGGAGCATAAATTTAAACTCCTCTAAATAGGAGTAACTAATTAAGCAGTGACGAAGCTACATAGGAGCAAGTGACTGCAATTGCAGTCACTCACCTTTCTATGTTAGTGTATATATATGTATACTCAGTGCCATTATATTTCACCGCATGAGAACCAAATGCCCAACTCTTTACTTCTGCCTTTGGCAATTGCACTGCTGGGATTTGAGATGCTAAAGAATTGAAGCAGGTTCTTTTCTTTATTTCTTTTTCTTATGTGTTGACATGTGATAAAACATTAAATTTAATTTCTAAATTCAATGAATTGAAACTGCAAAATTATGCTTTTGAGCTGGGGATGTGTATAAATTTATTGTTTTGCAACAAATTAAGTTTTAAAAAAAGTGTATATATTGGGTGCATACGCTTCCGCCATCATCTCTCTGAATTTTTCAGTGCACAAACAGATTTGGTAAGGTATTGTACTCCATTTTTTCATTGCACACTATATGTTCGATAAAATGCCTGTGAGACTTTTTATTTGAATGCCTCCGACAGCTGTCAAACCTGTGAAGTGTTTCCCCCACTGATGTGGAACTCTGGCTCCGCCACTGTAATTAAGTAATAAAAAATCCTCCATGCTGCCTGCGATCTTGACACTACTACTCTGGTCAGCACTCAGCACATGCAATAATGGTGGGTTATTATTTACTCCCTATATACTTGGTCTTCTAAGTGTATTTTGTCAATATTGAAAAGTCAAACTCCCTCATGCAAGTGTTATTTGGTCTTCTAAGTGTATTTTGTCACACAAAACAATTGGTCTTTTTTACATATTAAGAATGAATCAGAGCTTTCAATTGTTCTTTTTCATGGGGGTCTGCAAAATGTTAGGAAATACATTAATAAAAGATAGAGATACGATCTGGACACCTTGTTTTCTATTCTTTCTTATAAAATTTTGATTTTACAATAATTGAACTGAATTGTTTTTTTGACATTATACAAGAAAAAGTTTGTCATTATGTAGTGATATGTTTGTCATTGTGCATTGTCGTATTTGACATTGTAGATTCGATTGCCACTCATGCTATGCATTTCTATGTATCATTACAATAGCCCATCCAGTCTTTGTTTTATTAAAAAGGAACATTTAACCATTATCAATGGCCACCGCCGTATATATACGAAATGATGCCGAAGATTAATTTTTTTTTTGCTATAATAAAAAAGGTAAAGCGAAGCATCGGGGAAGATTAATTGGTCTACCAGTAAAACTTTTGTTGCATGCTTTTAGTGAGCTGTAGAAGACTGTTACATTTCAAGTATCTACCTATACAGTGTCATTGGATTTGGTTTGGCATTATGTCATTGTGTAACATTGTAACATTATATATGAGCATATGTGGCATTATATATAGGCATCTATGGTATTATATAATGTCATATGTGACATTACATGGTGTCATGTTTGACATTATAATGTCTTTCTTTGACACAGTATTAACTATTAGTTTGGCACCACTGTGGCGACGATGGTGCAGATTGTGATGGTAGTGTTGTTGATAATGGTATAGAGCACTGATCTCATTGATGGTGACGACGAAAAATCAAAGGCGTCAATGGTAGGTTTCGTTTGTAGCGGTACGGCGGAGCAGAGGACGGAGGTGGTGGAGATTCAAATGATGGTGGCAGGTATGTGGCGGCGACGATGGCGGCAGTGGGCATCATCGTCGACGACGATTGAGCCAGTGGGCGTTGCTGTCAGTAGCATGCTGTTGTGAAATTGGCCGAATTTTTTTAGTTTTGAATTTGGCCTGATATCGGCCGCAAATGCAGCGCGTGTGTGGGGAGCATTTTTTGTTTTATTAATTAAGTTAAAATCTTTATTTTAACTTTTTATAAAAAATAAAAAAAATGAAAAACTCAAAAACATTGCAAAAAAAAAAGTCGCATGCAGTGATCATGCTCCTGACTTTTAGTTCGCATGCATCTTTTAAGAAAATGTGCTTGTGGGAGTATGTTCTACTCCTATTTAGAGGAGTTTAAGTTTGAACTCCTATTTTGAGGATATGACCTATCTTTTACTCCTAGTTTGTTCCTTCTCCCGTTATAAAACAGAAAGGGGGCAACCAGTAAAAGCTTCCTCACACCGGGAAAGACATATTGGCAAGAATGGATCAGTTACCAGAGAACATTGAGGTTAGCATGGATGATGTTCAAACAACACAAGATTTCTTAGCTACCCAAGCAAGTGTATAAACTGCTAATTGTTTTTTTGGATTTTGGGAAGTGAAAATGCTATGGGGACAAGTACTTTGGGAAGTACTATCCAACATGACTTTTTTTGGGTTTTGGGGAGTACTATCCAACATAACTTTTTTTGCTTTTTGGGTTTTTGGGTCATGATAGTATGTGGATATGTAACTCAATGTAGTAATATAGCATGTTTCATATCAAGTCAAGGGAATATTGTAATCTAAAATAGGGATTATGTTTGCCCATTATTGATCTCAAAAACATTTCTGTCATCATAGATCTCAAGTAAGTTTGGGTGTGGTAGACCTCACGGCCAAACACACACATAGGATGTGCAAGACCGCAGGGCTGGTAGAACTCAGACCTAGATCTGAAAGAAATGCTTTACTTCAGAAACCTTAAGCATTTATAAACCATAGACAACCATAAACAAAATATAATAGGCAAACATACATCACAGTGAGGGAATATTGCAATCTAAAATATGGACTATGTTTGTCATCATTGATCTCAGAAACATTTCTGTCATCACAGATCTCAAGCAAGTTTGGGTGTGGTAGACTTCAGGGCCAAACACACACATAGAATGTGCAAGACCTCAGGACATGGTAGATTTCAGATTTTAGGGTAATGTTAAGCATACATAAACCATACAGACCTCATTACCTTAAGCATACATAAACCATACACATCATATATCAGGGTAATGTTAAACATTACGGCCATCACACATCTCAGCACAAAACATCACAGATCTTAAGTACCCAGATAAATCTGTGGTCAAAACACACAAGGGCTATCACATAACAAGTAAAATGTCCTCTGAGGTATGCTACACAGTGTTCAAGGTCAATTTAACATGAACTTTAATATTGAAACATAACCCCCTATCATCATCAATCACAACGAAATACATCTCTTCTATGAGTAAGAAAGAAATAAAAGAAGGCATACTGCATGGATCCAGGCCAGGAGATCTTTTTTGAGGGATGTCCATGAAAAAATAATCAGCGCATTTCATATTTTCCAGGTAATACCTGTAGCTCACCTCTTCCCCTTCACCTTCTTCGCTCATAAAACCATCAATTGAGTCTTCTACAACCACACAGTTGTACTTGTTTCTAAACCTCCAAGTAGGATCAGTCTCAGAAGTGTAGCATGGTGATTCAACACGCACCTCAAGTTTTGATCCCGAGAAAGGAGGCGATCTAGATATAGATCTAGATTCTAATTCTTGAGACAAGAGATCAAAACTAGGCATAGATGGATCGCGTATCCATGGAGGAAACATTGTAATTGTATAGGTAAAGATTATAGACACAACGAAATTGAAATCAGAGAAGATGAAGTGGGGAGGAGAGGAAAAAGTGAGGAGACAAAGAGGTGAGTAGAGATCTAGATTATATCATGGATGGATAAGGAGAACGTGGCTGACACAAGAGAGAATAAAACAATCCATTTAGTGTAAAAGTAAACACTTCATAATTCTTTTTGGAACAAAAATGAGAAAGAATATTGTAATCAAATTGGGGACGCATGGAGTATCATCCATACACCAAAGTTACACCACATCCAAATATCAGTCCACTATCATTAGGACTCTAGGCTAATCATTAACTTGTTTTGTAAACAAAACCAAAATGATTCATTAGTATTAGATTTTCCTCCTCGTCACTTGCTGTGTTGTAAATTGACTCGATTTAGTTATCTCCTGGGAAAATCCAGGAGATATTTTCCCAAATTGAGGCTGGGGGCATTTCATGCTGATCTCTATATAAAATCAAGATTTAAATTATCCTCAGTGTTTGTTTTTATTGACTCTCTCAAATTCATGTTTGGCTTACAGCTACTAATAAATAATAATAATAATAATAATAATAATAATAATAATAATAATAATAATAATAATAATAATAATAATAATAATAATAATACGGAGTACTACCAATAAAGAGTTCATGAAACCGTGCCCCAATGAAGAAGCCTCCCTCTCTGGACATATGCCGAGAGACTTGACGAAATTAAACAGAGATAAATTCAGGGCCTCTTGCGCTTATGCGTCTTCAGCTGCTTGAAGATGAAGCTTTCAACTTCCTTCAATGTAGCCTTCCTTCCTTCTTTGAAGTTCCATAGCTCGGGGACCACATATCTTCCACTGGGATTGTATTCGTTCACCTCTTCCAAAGCACTGGTAACCGCGCCATAGATTTCGTCACCCCATTCTTCCTTCAGTTTGCATAGTTCTACATCTTCCTCGTTTAACCTCTCCTGCATTCAAATACGTACGTGTGTATTTGATTCAAAAGGGTTGAGAGATAGAGAGTGGAAGGGCAAACAAACATACCTCATAGTTGTTTTCATCGATCCGGATCATCTTGAAAGGATGCCAATTGGAGTCCTTCACTTTTTCCTGCCAGAGAGAGCACAGCTCCAGGGCCTTCACGTCAGCTTCCTCGCTGGAGAATCTTTGCTTGCAGGTATTCTGGAAGATTCTTGAATCGATCTCTCCCATCCGTTTGATCCCAATGTGAGAACGCCCAGCGTTCAGCATGTCACTCAAGCCCTGAATCAGCGCTTTACGGGCTTCCTGCAACTCATCGTTGCTCTCGCGTTCCCTCTTAAGGAGAGCACTGTTCATCTCGTCAAGATCTTGCATTTCTTCCTTTTTCGAATTGAGCTGCTCAATCATCTCCTTTATCTTTTCCTTAACGGCATCATCGTTCTCGCCTCCCATGTGCTTCATCACCTCCAGTTTTCCATTCAGATCTTCAATTTCCATTTCAAGTTTCTGTTTCGCGTCAATGTCCTTTTCAAGCTTTAAAATCTTTTGCAAGGCCTCGTCCTTTTCCCTCTGCAGATTCAAAAGACAGCAAAGAAATTTGTATATGTATTCCCAGCAAACTATGCATGCACATCAGTATATAATAAACAAAAAACATTGCATCCTACTCCGGAATATCTTTTTCATATAATAATCCATATGGTCCACTTTCATCCTACTCTGGAGGCAGAGAATTCAATGTGACGCACCTTATGCTCTTCGACTAGCCTTAAGACATTTTCATCGGCTTTTTTCTGCTCCTCGGAAGCCATTTCAAGCGAACAGTTTCTTGCATCATTCTGTAGTTCAAAAACAGCTTTAGTCATGCATTTTTCTCATGCCTGTGAAATTATCGAAAATAGATATATTCTACAATAATGAATCATTAATAAAGTCGAAGAGCTTAGGATGAATATAAAGTGGTACAAGTCTATTGCATTTTGTTTATATCATAATAATAATAATACTCGTAATTATTATTATTATTATTATTATTATTATTATTATTATCATCATCATCATCATTATTATTATTATTATTATTATTATTATGCTTGAATTCAAGAAAAAATTATTATCAAGCAAACAGTAGGCACTGTCAACATTCTCGATAGGTTCGCACACAAACCAATATCCATGAGTGATACAGAAAAACAAGGTAGTATTAATCACAACCTTTTTCTTCTCCTCTTCAAGTTTTTGCTTCTCTCGCTCAGTCAAAACCTCACGCTTATTCAGCTCTCTGTTCCAAGAATCTAGTTGCTTCTTCTTGCTCTCCAATTCTGAATTCAGACTTTCCTGTTCATGTAAGACCCTTTGGACATGCTCCCGTGCAAGACGCTGCATCTTCCTAGATTCTGCAAATTTGCAATGGCGCCATTATCCCAGGAAACCAACAAAGCGATAATATTACATAGGACAGAAAAGTATTCAAAGTATGTTGGGCCAGATATTTCACTGTCCACAACACAACTAAGATTAAGAATACAGTTGAGAGAACACATGCATGGGAAAAACAGATGCAGAAAGAGAGAACCTTCACAGAAAGCACGGTGAAGTATGTCCTTCTCCTCGAGCATTCGACTAAGGGACAGTGTCTTCTCATTGAACTTTGTCTGTAACTCATCCAGGTTCTTATTCTTCATGTCGATCTCAGTAGCTAGATTGGACACAATTTTGCTTTTGTCCATCTTTTCTTCTTGTTCAAGATCAGTGATGGATTTCAATTGTACTGTCTCACGGAGAAAGTACCCAATTGCCCCTTCTGAACGGTAATCATCCTCCCTTGCAAACCAACCATAAGGATTAGAGCCCGGTGAGCACCTTTGGGCATTCCAATCACTCTTACTGCAACCTTCGGCCACAAATGCCTTCTCAAACTCCAGGACATTTTTATAGCCAGTCCAATCGCTTTTAAATTTGATAGCAACTTGGGAAGTGTTTGACTTATCGTCACAGAATATCTTCACTTCCTGAGCCCCATACTTGGAAAACTTCTTCAACCAAAAAGCTTCCTCCTGTACTGCTGTCCCTGTTGCCTTTTCCAATACATTCACAACAATGCCTACCCAAGGCCAGCAATAAAGGTTGTTCTGTTCAGAAGCCACATTTACCGGTGGAATAGCACGTTCTGGTTGTGGCTCAGCCTCATCTGCTAGATCTGTCTCCAAATACTGTGCCAATGCCAAGTGGTTGGCTTTCTGTATTAGCCTTCTGTTTGCGGAACCTTTCCCTACCCCTGTAGCATGCTGAAGAAGGTCCTTGTACTTGTAATCTTGTTTCTTCTTTCCCGCGCAGAACGGACATCTAAGGCCTCCATTCGGACCCTTCACTTTGAATTTACCAGACCTCAACTCCTCATAGGGTTTCTCCTTGTAATCATTGATCTCTGACTCACTTAAGTCTGATTCTTCGTCTGAGCTACTCATCTTCTGTGAATCAAAAGATTTTTTTTTAATAGAAAGAACAATGTAACCGAAAACACCACTGCATCAAAAATTAATTAAGAAAATTTATTGAAATTAATATATGAAATTGTTAACTGCTCACAGACACTCCATAAAGATATGATGGTTATGCACAAATCATAACAGGATCTGAGCCTGAGTGGGCTTCTCATCAGATTCACAGAAATCACTAACAGAAGTTTAAAAAAGACATCTTTGGAAGTGTTCTTTTTTAGGGATACGTATGGAGCAATGAATGAACAAGCAAACAAACAAAGACAGCTGAGAAGTATTGAAGACAAGAAATTAAACATGAACACCATTCACAAATGCCTGATTGGTCTTTCCAACAGATTTGAAAAGTTAAGAAAAAGATTTTTTTGTTTAAAAAAAAAAAAAAAACCCCTCCGCACAAAATCCAGTTTTATCACTTATTGCTCCTGAAAACTTGAATTAGATCTTACTTCTGTATGTGAAACAAAAAAGGCTCACCTCCCTCCGTAAATGTGCAGATCTGAAGCTGAGAGTCAGCGGAGAATGCCCTGAGAGTTGAAATGGAAACTGGGTGAATCTGGTGCCTTGGTGATGACTGATGAGCCAGTCAAACTGGGCCTAGACACTGGAAGGGCCGACTGGCCGGGTATAAGCTGTCTTCACTTGGCCGGGTTCATTGATTTGATTTGATTTTTTGAAAGTCTGATCTGATTTGTTCAATATTGAATCTAATTTGATTGAATTTGATTAAATTGAATTTAATTTGTTTGAGTTTGATTCGAATGGATGTATTTTGATATCTTTTCAAATTAAGAGGGTTGTATTCAATTCAGATTTTATAAGATTCTGATAGATTGTATAAAATTTTTGAATTCTACAAAATCAACGGATTATTTTAAGTCAACACAGAGTTGAATATATTTAAATGTATTTTATCAGCACGATTTTATAAGATTCTGGCAGATTATTTATAATTAATGAATTATTATTACCATATTACTATTTGCTTAGAAATAATACTACTATTATCACGTCATCCACAAACAAGAACATCTACAATGAACTCTAACAATACATCACCCTCTTTGATTGTCCATTGTTCATACCGTACTTTTTTTTGGTGTTTTGTTTATGATCACTTGTGATGATATTATTATATTGAGTAAATTCTTTAAATGGTCATTTATAACTGGGGAGTTTCCGTATTTAGTACTCAATTATCAATTATTAAGGAAGTAGGCTTTTTTAATTGGGTACCATTCCATCTATGATCCTCCGTCTCATTTCCGTCAAACTGTAGTTAAACGGAATGCAAATAGTTTATTTAACATAATTGGTCCATCAAACGACACCGTGCAGTTAGGGTTTTTGTTCTGTTATAATTTTGCGATAAGTAAGCTTTCGATTTAGATGTGTCTGCGAGAATTGTTCGTCATCTATAAGCTATGGCAAGTTTCGAAGGTGAGTTATATCTTCTTTGCGATAATTACTCGATGTTTTACTATGGATTCCCAAAATTCTCTATTAATCTCTTCCAAAATCTAAGCTTTAATTTAGTTCTCTCACTTTCATTTAAAAATTGGGATTTGATTTCGATTTCTTGTTGTACTGAGTATTTTGATTATGATTTTGTGGGAAAGGGTAGAGATGGGGACGGGACAGCTGAAGAACAAGAAGAAATTGAGCTTTTGTTACTGTGTTAATTTGCAGGAACATTGAACTAAAGTTTAGGCTTGGTGGATCTGTAAGTATTGGAGGTGCACTTCCAAAATATGATGGTGGTTTTGTGAAAGTGGTTCGTAATGCGTTGTTTGATGTTATTAAAGCATCATATTGAGGTATTTGGTTTTATGAACTGGGAAGATATTACTGTGTACTCTATTACTGATGCTGGATTGAAGGAGTTAGTCGGTGATAGTGATGCTTGGGAGTTGGTTGGAGTAGATAACTTACCTTCTATAATTGAAAAATGGGTGGTCACAGCTCGAGTAACAGGAGACACTGCTGGGGAGCAAACTGCTGATGAGTATGGTGATGATGAAGAGGTAGATGATGAAGTAGATGATTCTGAATCAGATGTTGATGAGGAGTTTGAAGAGATAGATGATGAAGTAGATGATTTCCTTTTTTATTCTAATGTGGACAACACATTAGAATTTGGTGGGGTAGGCAATCAAGAATCCGATGTGTTACAAGAAAACAAAAGAGGTGTTGAAGAACTACCATTCTTTGGAAGTGATGAAGATACGTTGTCAAAGGGTGACGGAAATGATAAGGTGCGCCTCCCTGTCTTCAAAGCAAAAAGGGACTTAAAGAACTCACACTTCTCGGTTGGTTTATTATTTCCCAGTAAGAAATTGTTCATGGAGGCAGTGAGTAATTATGCATTTAATAATGGGAAGTGTTTAAAATTTGATAATAATGATAAGAACAGAGTATATGTAAGCTGTGTTGATGGGGGTGAGAGGAGGAGAAAAAAGAACCTGCATGAAGAAGAAAGTTCTAATAATCATGAAAGGAGTAGGTGCACTGAGGTGTCACAAGCAGTTAGGTACCACTGACTTCAGAATTACTTACTTCAATGATGTCCATGAAGGCTGTACTTGGAAGTATTACAACAAGATGATGAACTCCACACGTCTTGCAAAGAGATGGAAGGGCGAAATGAAATTCCGTTCAAATTGGAAGGTGAAAGACTTTCAGAAGCGTGAACAAACACATGAGAAGTGTCACCTATCATACAAACAAGCATGGAGGGCACTTAAAGTGGCATATGAAGATGATCATGGACTTGCAGAAGAGGAGTATAGGATATGATGGATGTACTATCAAGAAATCATGAGGACTAACCCCGGTACCTCTTGTCGAGTGAAATACATTGATGATGGCAGTATACGAAGGTTTCAGCGGGTGTACATTTGTTGGGAAGCTTGTCGTGAAGGGTTCAAAAGATGTAGGCAACTTATAGGCTTAGATGGTTGCCACCTTACAGGGAAGTTTGGAGGGACAATGCTAGTTGCAAATGGAGTGGACACTAATGAGAATATCTTTCCATTTGCATATGCCATTGTGGAGGCTGAGAACAAAGAATCTTGGACATGGTTTCTAGACCTTCTCACATTTGATTTAGAGCTAAATGATTCTAAGGAACCAACTTTTACATTCATGTCAGGTACAACATCTTTTTTGTCTTTTCATTTTTTCACTTGCTTAAAGTACTCTCTAAAGGGTTTTCTCACTTGTTTGGTTTCCTTTACTAACTCACAAATAAGCAAAAGGGTTTGTTACCTGCATTTGAGGATGTCATTCCACGAGCAATGCATAGATTTTGTGTAAGACATCTAGAAGGGAACTTCAAAAATGCTAGGTATTCAGGAGAGGCATTGAAAGACCTCTTATGGGAGGCTGCTAAGGCAACTACAGTGTCTCTATATGAGGAGGTTATGAGGAAAATAAATGATGAAGATGTTGAAGCGTGTGATTGGTTGGTTGGTAAACAGGCTTCAGAGTGGTCCAGATCCCATTTTCACATTGCACCCAAGAGTGATATCCTCACCAACAATATTTGTGAGTCCTACAATAGAGTTTTAAAAGAAGCTAGGTCTCAAACCCTCATTAGGTGCCTAGAAAGCATAAGGGAAATGCTTATGAAAAGATTCTTTGATCTGAGGGAAAAGGCTGAGAACTGGAAGGGTTTGTTGTGTCCCACAGTAGCCTCCAAAGTTGCCATAAATTCAAAACTAGTTGGTGGGTATACTGCAATTCAAAGTGACATATCCGTATTTGAAGTTAAGGGATATAGGGCAAAAAATTGGGAACAACATGGAGTAGATTTGGTTGAAAGGAGTTGTACATGCAATGTTTGGCAGTTGACTGGGATACCTTGCGCACATGCTATATGCGCAATATGGATACAGAGACAACAGCACAGAAAAGAGGTTGAGGAGTATGTAGATGAGTACTATTTTGTTCAAACATATAAAGAGGTTTATAAAGGATGCATTAAACCACTAAGGGGAAGAAGTGAGTGGCCTGATGATGAAAGGCAGCCTTTGAACCCTCCTTTATTGGCACCAAAGCCAGGTAGACCAAAGAAGAAAAGAAAGAAAGGTGTGGGTGAGCTTACTAAAGATGGTAAGAAGCTGTCCTGTGTGTTTACTAATAGAAGGTGTGGTAAGTGCAAAAAGGTAGGTCATAACAAAAAAAACTTGCCCTGAAGATCCAGAGGCTGTGGCAAGACAGGTATACCTTCTTTACCATTTGTGTCTCAATTTAGCCTGAGTTTTTATAAACATGACCACAGTGCCTGTTAAATTTTTTTGTTTAGTCTGCAGCAAAACAGAAGAAATCACATAGAAAACTTCTAAAGAGAAGGATGTTAAGGGCTGCTCGAAAATCAGGTCAAGAGGAAGCTGCATCTAATAGTGTCAATCAGACAGAAATATCATGTCAAGAAACCACAGAACCATGGTGGGCTGATTTGCCAGTTGAACCAGACATATGCTCTGAAAATCTCAGCTTCATCCCAACACCAACAACTCAAGATAATGAAAAGCAAGATGGGAACAATGGCATATATGTGTTTCATTCCAACACCAACTACTGTAAATAATCCCCCAAGAGAAACCCCATAGTGAAATCCCCCATCACCCAAGTGTCTGCTGCTCCTATTTCTTCAAAGAGACAGAATAGGGAGGTTGTGAGGCCTAGAAGAACACCATATCTCACTAGGTCGACTCTAAAGACAAGGTTCAGGAACACGCCAAATGACCCGTTGGTCGTGGATTAGGGACATTTGTGGTTTCTGTTTTTTGCTGGGTTTGATGCCCTCTTTTGTTATGACAAAACTTATGGTTTTTGCTGGAATTTATGGCCATGTACTTTTGCTATGACAATACTTGTGATTTTTGGTGGGTTTTGTGATCATGGAATTGTTGAATGTCCATGTATTTTTTTGTTGTGGAATGTATTGTCCATGCTATCACAAGATGTAACTTGAGCAAATTATGCTGATTTTGATATTAGTGCATATATCATTTTGTATTATGTTTTGACTGTTTCGTATAGATGATGGAATATTTTACATGGAACTTTCATAGTTATATGCTTTACGATAGGATAATGTTGTAGATTAATACAATACATAGATTATGTTTTGACTGTTTAGTATTATGTTTTGACTGTTTTAGAGTAATACAATACAAGAGTACTACTTAAAATAATACAAAGTGCACACATACACCAACACCCATACACACATAAACCAATCCATGAAACATTCCTTAACATCTTCCAAAGTACACGCATACAACGACACACATAAACCAATGCATGAAACATTTCTTAACGTCTTCCAAAGTACACGCATACAACGGCACACATAACCAATCCATGAAACACTTTTTAACGCCTTCCAAAGTACACGCATACACCAACACACAAGACACATACAAAAACCAACAAACACACAACATCAACGAGCAGATGACTCATTTGAATGCCTTCTTTAGGGTTTAAATGCACTCTTAGTTGCTCATTTTCCCCCTCTAATGTATTGATCCTCTTCAACAAGCCAAGAATGATATTCATCGATCTATCGCACATTGGAGGGTCAACCCACTCCCAATCCTTGCATCTACGCCATCCCTATACATACAAAGTTAACATTATACTCAATAATCTAACAATATAAAATATATTTCACATTTACATGACTCACGTTTCCAGCACAATTCCAAAACCTTCTGCCCGGGTTGCTATCAGTCTATGCAGTCATAATTCTCATTTCATTCCCACACCTACATGTAGGAACTTCCAACCAATCACCGAAATGTTCAATTCTTCTCGAAGATGACGACGATGAATGATTTCCGTAGCTATCAAACCCAAACATAATAAACTTCAGAAATTGGATAAAAAAAATCTAGGGTTGCAATAACTCAATTTATCAATCTTGAAAAAAAACTACGATTAAGAGGAGAAATTACTCTGAACTACGATTGTCTTCAATCTTTGAAATTTTTTAAAAAAACTAAGATTGCAAATAATCAATTCATAACCTTAAAATTTCAGAAGTATCCTCACCAATATTGAAAATTTTAAAAAATTTAAAGTAAATTATTTTACATAATGAGGAGAATAAAAAACACAGACCCTTTTACATCCAAGTAAATACCTTCGTTGACGCATCGTTGATTGCGAGTTCATAGTCCCAATCGTCATTTCAATTCACTAGCTGTCGTTCTTCTTCGTTGACGCAGACCATCCGCCAATTGACTAGCCCTAGTTCTTCCTCTTCGTTGACGTAGAAGTGTATATATTAGGCGTAAATAGGTTTTGTAGGGAAAGTACAATATTAGCCCTCCACTTAGCAGTGCTCAAACGGAAATGAGACGGAGGATCATAGATGGAATGGTACCCAATTAAAAAAGACTAGACACTTAATAATTGATAATTGAGGACTAAATACGGAAACCCCCCAGTTATAAAGGACCATTTAAAGAATTTACTCTTTACAATAGTAAAAAATGAGTTACATGTGAAATTACAAATAAACAGAAAATAATGAAGGATTGGAAAAACATGTGAAATTACAAATCAAAGGCAAGAACTAAACAAATAAAAGAAGAAAGAAAAGGTAAAGTCGAGTAGCCGAAAAAAGAGGAATTCCAAATCAGGGAAAATAATTGCTTCCTCGAGTTCCACTCCCCTTCCGGATCCAAGAAAATAATTTCAAATCATATTGAAGAGGAAGCAAATTTCTAGTGGATCGCTTCATCAAGATATAACATAATTTCAAGTTCCACTCCCAATTTCCTTACTTCAAATTTCAAATTCCCCGCATGTAATCCGAATCTAGAAGGTAAGGACGAAGAACCAAATTCCTCAAAGGTTGTAAGTTTTGCATGTTGTAATCCGAATCAAGACCATAGAATGTTTGAGAGAAAGAGAAATACGTAGTACTTGAGATACCATGGCCTGCTTGCGGAAGAGAAGATGAAGAATATGGATGAGGAGAAGAGGATATAATGGAGAAGACAAAATACCTTAGGCCATAGCCTTTTCATTGGATTTGACAACAAGATTTTTATTTATACTCAAGCCCAAAAATCCATCACAATCTATATTTTATAATAATTTTTGAGAATCTATGAATTTTTTAATACCATTAGATTTAGAGAGATTGATTAAACTTCAATTGAATACCTCTTGATTTTGAATGATTTTTCAAAACCCCAATTGAATACCTCAAGATTTTAAATGACTTTTCAATGTATAACGCATCTAATAAATTAATTGAGTCATATATATTGAAGCTGGAAAAGAAGAAAATCGTTGACATAAACAATTATTGACAATATATGAATGTTGTACAACATAAATTGATAAGTTTTGTATACTTTGTGCTAATCGTGTTAGATGTCGCGGTGGTGGTTGGGCGCCAGGCAAGGTGTGCGGTACGCCGAGGTAGCGGCGGCATTCATTGCAAATGGCGGCCGAGTCGCTGGACTTTTTTTCCAGATTTTTTATTTTTAATTTCAAATTGTTTTTATAAATTTTCAACTCTATAAATACACCACATTTCCAACTCCAATGTATCCACTCTCATCTCACTCAAATCTCAATTTCCAAATATGAACCTTTACGGGGCGACAACTTTTCCTTTCAACATCCGGCATTTATGATGTAATCAGATATGCAATTTAATTTGCTAGTTTTCACAATAATGTGCCACTGGAGGTATACGGGCAAGAAATTTGCCCCAATCTCAGGCTCCAAAGATAACCCCTACCAAGTGTCAGACGTGAGGACAAATACTGTAACGCCCCAAAACATACCCTAGAATTATTCATGGATAATTGTTCAATTAATCAAATTTGTTTTGATTAAAATAATTTATTGTTGGGCTTTGGGCCATATAGAGATAAATCCAACATATTGGTTTATTGTGTGATCTTAATTGGGAACCTGTGTCAGACCCAAGTTAAGAATAAATGAAGATTTGTTTATAAAGTGAACTTCGAAATGATTTATTGAAATAAATCATAAGAACAAATGATATGAATTAAATGTGAGAACCTTTTTGAATAAAGATCAACTAAACCAATTTTGACTCTGTCAAAGTCAAACACCCAAAAATAGGATTTCAAAAAAAGTATTACAAATAAATATAAAAATTATGTCGTTGGATGGAGTTTAACTATCCGATCGCAACGGTGCAAACAGAATTCAATTCGAAGAAAGTTGGACTAAAAAGTGTACCCCGACTGGGACCAAATTAGTCCCAATCAGGGAGTAACGTGCTGAATCTCTTTATCGCCGAATGAAGATCGTGAATTGGGAATCCTACGCAGCAGCAAATCAGCTTCCCATGTCTTCTTCCTCTTCCTCTTGCTATATAAGAAACTCCATTCTTCTCATTTCTTCACCAAGCTGCTTAGAATTAGTACCATTATGTTCTTGGTGAAGTGGAGAGTTCATTTGTGCTGTCAAATTGGTGTGAAGTCGCCGGAACAGAGAGTAATCCTCGCCGGAAAATTTCCAAAACCTCCATTAAGCTTTGAGGTAAGCCCGTAGATATATCTAATGACTAGAATGTTCATATAGGCCGTTTCCACGTTCATAAATGGTCATTTGGTTGAGTTTTGTGTTTGACATTCTTGAAGAACTAGGAATCATAAACCTCGAATTTGATGTTAAAAATATGATTTAATGATTCTAAAATGATCTATGAACCTTTGAGAACATTTCTATATAATTTAATTCAAGTTCGGTAACTAAAAATGGTATTTCCGAAAAATGGACCAAAGGTTGAAGAAGATGAACAATGACCTGAAACTTACTGTCTGGATCGATCCACTGGGAGTTTTTCTTCTAGTTTGATCGATCTAGAGGGCTGGATCGATCCCCCGAAATTCTGATCCGAAAATTTGTCTGAAAATGCTATTATTGAGCTCTAAAATCCTATTTTTGATACCAATTGATTATGATCATTATAAAGATGATTTTTCATAATAAAAATGATGTTTTTAACAAAATAAAATGATATGTGATGCATGACGGTAAGTTCCAGGGTTAACACTCGAGACTAGGCCGCTATTTGTTATTAAACGTTATGTTAAATGATCATTATGATGAATAATTATGATGGATAATTATGAATGATAAATCTACTGATTAGAATGATTATTGATGATTAAATCATGATTAAAAATGAATATAATGGTGATCATAAAGATGGTGTATATTGTTAAGGATATCTAGAAGAATTCTAAGATATACCTCCTTGACCAATTCGTATTTCGGGTTAAAACATACGTACGGGATCCAGAACGGATATCACCCACCCGACAGTTCACTGTTCGGTTTGGTACGTAATCCACATGACTCATAGGGTGGATTATCGATTCTTGTGTTCTGCATTTAACTATTTATAGTTTAAGGGCCTGGTTAGAGATATTGCCTAGACTAAGAATAGCTAAGAGCTGATTATAAAACAATGTGGCGTTAGATTAAGAAAAATTTAAGAGCGTTGTTGAGATATTGAATATCAAATGACTTGGAATTAAATATTGAGAATATCATGAATGTTTGAATCATATATTGTGTGCGTGATATCAAATGGTTGATTATGAATTGAGATTCAATTTATGTGGATGTTCGACGCTTTAGATATGCTTACTCAACTTCACTGCTGAGCGTGTAGTGTGTTTTGTTTGCTACACGCATGTAGACAGAGTGTATGATTGGCATATTCCTGGAAGCAAAAGGAGCGAGACAGTCGTGGTGAAGTTATTGACAAAATAAATAATTATGTTTGTTATGAGACATGTTTATAAGTCGCTTCCGCATTATTATTAAGAACTCCATATTTTCTATAGTTATGTATGGAATTTTATTTATGATGAATAAAGTTGTTTTAAAGGTTTTAAATTATACGATTACCAAGTTAATACTTTAGTCCGAAAGGGGCTGCAGACCTGGACGGATTAGGGTGTACAATTTGGTATCGGAGCAAATGGTTTTAAAACCGATCTTCGGAGCAAAATCTGATTTAAATATGTATATATTATATATATATTGGGTAAAAAAAATGTCAATCACAACCACGACTCTTGCATCCCTCTACTCTAGGAAAGGTAATGAGAATTTATTTGATAAATATTGACTATATTAAATTCTCATTAGATAACAATTGATTAAAACTAAAATCGTATCGAGCGTAGACTCTAGTAGAACTTTCGTACTCGGTGAAGAGACAAAAGAATGAACAAAAAATATATGACCCTCTGATCCGTTATTAACGTACGCATCGCATCGCGAATGACGAACCTGATCTGCATCGCAAAGTCACATGGAAGTGAGATGACTCTGAAGAAACGATTTATGTTGAACAACATCTGTGAAGCTGATATCGAAGATCCTTGTGTGGATTCAACACGACCCGATCATTGACTCAAAACGCAAGCGTTTAGAATTAATAAATCCTATCATTTCTCCCACTCTCTCTTGATTGTTTTCAATCGTCCCAACTGTTATATACCCTCGTAATATTTGTTATCAACGCACCTACGCAAATAAGGAATCCTAATAAAGAAATTTCTACTATTTGTAGAATGAGTCAAGAAACTGCTCGCGGACAAGATAACCAAGTGCAAAACAATGAACACACAACGGTTCATATTGAAATATCGTATTTCACTCTTGTTGTCCGAAAAGAACCAGACACCCAAAACATCCACCAAGATATTGAAGGTCAATCAAATACTAGTTCAAATATCAAACCAATTATTAAGGGAAAGAAACCTTTGATTAGAACTTGTAGTGCCCCACACTCGTCACGTTTTCGTACTAAAGCCGTGTTTGTTTTTATGACAGGTTTTGATAATGCCAAACCGCCGTGATCAAGTCAAACATTGAATATACAAGGCGAAGAATGAAGAGTAGAAGAAGAGCCAAAAGAAGACCAAGAACGAAGACCTTAGTCTTAGTGTCGTTGAGTCGGTCTTCATTGTGATCAAGACCGACCCAATCTTTACACCTTGGCTCTTTAGGCTAAAATCTCTCATTGCATTTCTTACATCATAAAAATGTTTTTCAAACTTGTTTAAGTCATTAAAAACACTTGGTGTTCGCCCAAACCAAAAACCAAGCCATCCAGCGTTCGGGTTTCAGAAACCGGCGTTCGGCTCTCGGTTATCGGCTTTGGTTTTTGGCGTCCAAACCAACCGAGTGGTTTTCAACTTTTTGTGATTGGTTTTCACTCTTTGGCATGTTTAAACGGTTCTCCGACAAAAACACTTTGAAAACCATCTTTCGCTTTTGGTCGTTTGACAAAAATCATTCAAAACGGCATAAACTTGGCTAGCCATGGTTTTTCACTCAAATGGTGTGGTTTTTAAAGTGTCTTACTTGATTTCTTAGCCAAATACATCAAATAAGTGTTTTAAACACTTGTTTTTTATTTTGGAGAACTTTGGATTTTTCGGTCGGTGTTTGCATCGGTTGGCTAGGCCGTGGTTAAGGCAAAGACCATGGGTCTCTGGCTAACCACCCACCCAGCAATGGGAAGATCTTCCCATCGATGGGTAAGCGGTCCCTAAGCCAAACCAACTTCCAGAACCATGCCAAACAGCGATGGGGAGTTCTACCTATCGCTGTTAAAGCCTTGGTGCAAAATTAACACAAGGCAGAACAACCTTACCCAGCGATGGGAAACCTATCCCATCGATGGGAACCCAGCGATGGTAAGGTTAAACCATCGATGGGAAGGCATGACCGTTGAAAGTCATTTAAAGTTGATTCTTTCCTTGTTTGGAAGTCAACCTCCCACCCAGCGATGGGAAGCTTGTACCCATCGATGGGTAGGTGACCGTTGGCTTCAAAACTGAAGGAAAATTGGCTTACCAGCGATGGTTGAGTCTAAACATCGATGGGAAGCCAATATCCTGCAGATCCTTTTTTTAATCAACCCCATAAAATCAAGCTAATCACCCCTTTAATGCATTGGTCCGTTGGAGCCTATTTTGGCACTATAAAAAGGGGTGTTTGGGTCTGCTTTTCATATCAATTCACTTCACAATATTCATACTTTCATTGCATTCAAATAACATCATTTTCCATAGCTTTCTAGAGCCAAATTGTGTGAAGTTTGAGTTGTTCTTGAGCGTATATATTTTACTCAATATCCACTCTAAAAGAGAGTATTTGTTCTTGAGTGCTTAGTGTTGTATACACGTTAAGGGAAGCTTGTTTCCCTTGGTTGTACGAAGGAAAGGCATTTTCCTTCGGGTTGAAGTCTTGGAGTGCGGTATCTCCGAGCAAGTGTTGTTGAGGCTCGTGGGACTCGAGTTCTCAGGTTGTAACGGTTTGTTAAGCACCCGTAAGCTTAACTGAAGTAGTGTAGCTCGAGAGAGTCTCTCGGGAGACTGGATTAGCCACACGTTGTGGTGAACCAATATAAATCTTGGTGTGCTCCCTTTACGCTTTCTACGCTCTTTAATTTTCACGTTCTTATTTTTTTATTCCTGCGATTTCTACGATCAAACGCTATTCACCCCCCCTCTAGCGTTGGTCACTTATTCTAACAACTCGAAGAGAAGAAAGCCTCTGGAAACTCAACACAAATTGAGGGTGTGGAAGCATTCGAAGTGCAACACTTGTAGAAGACACCACCCAAGAGAATGCCGGATGGTACAAGGATTATGTCTAGGCTGTGGAAAGCCTGGACATTTCGAAAAAGAATGTCCTACGAATCCTGGAAAACCAATGCCAGTCTACGTCAATCCTACTTGCACCAACAAGAAATAATTCACAACCGAACTCATACACGTGCGTATGCTGTGAAAGATTGCGTTGAAGAACATTCTGATGACAACATTAATATGTTTCCTTATTCAATAAAACTTATGCGTGTATTGATCCAGGATTTACACTATCTTATGTCTATGTAAATTCCATATTGAATAACTCTCCGTTGAGATTGAAGAATTTCTTATCAAAGAATCATCTAATCAAGTGTTTTCTCTTGAATACCTATTTTGTTCATACGCGAGTACAGAAGGATCGACGAGACTCTGTATCAACTATCGTAAACTAAACAAATCATTATCCTTTACTTCGTATCATGACTTATTTGATCATCTTAGAGGATCCGTAGTATTCTCTAAGATTGACTTATGGTCAGGATACCACCAAATCCTTGTTAAGAAACTTGAACAAACTGACGATCAAGAATTGCTACCCTTTACTACGAACTGACTACTTATTCGGTCAGATACAAAGAACCTACTTGTTAAAAGCTATATACAACTCAACCTTGTTGAATTAGCTGATGCCTTGTTATGAAGCGATTAATGACTTAATTGCTTATCGTCGAAAACGTTGATGTAGTCTGATTGAATAAATGAAGTAAAGTGATGCTTACAAGACAAATCATTAATTGACTCGTTCATATACCCTATTGACATGAAAGATTGCGACGTGGTGACAATACAAAAACAAGATGCGAAATAGTGACACCAACAGTGGAAGACTGAAGAATGAAGAAAATGTAGCTCGCACTGGCCATACAGCATAGAATAATATTTATGGATAATATCATTTCAACACAAAATACAACTTAGATCATATGAGGAATGTTACAGATGCAATTCTAAGTCTAATTTCCCAGGATTTGCAAACTCATCGTAACTAGCACCAGATCCCAGGAAAGCTTTAGCAAACTCTAGTTTGTCTAAAAGCTCATCAACAAAGAAAGAAGAAATAAAAAGTTTCCTCTGACTGGAAGCCATGAAGTTCTGCCTCACCGCATCCTCTAAGAAATTGAGAAGGTTTTTGAAATAACCGTCAATGTTTAAGAGACCAATGGGTTCATTGTGTAACCCTTTAGAAGCCCACGAGATCAAGGTGAACAAACCTTCCATAGTGTCAACTCCTCCGAGAAGAACAATGAAAGTTTCCACGGCATGATTCATCTCAAAATATTTGTAGTAATTACTAGAAACTGTGTGCTCTACACCGTACGTGGGTCCATAGACCCGTCGTGTTGCTATGTACCCAGGAATGAAACCTCTAACGAGACCACCATTGGTAAAGACTGTTGAAGCAACAGCTCCTTGAAGGCCAACACTACCTCCTCCATAGGCAAGTTTAATTTTTTTTCTTAACAATTCCCTTCCTAAATCTACCGCGGTAGCCATAAACTTTGGATTTCTACCTAGAGAATGACTACCAAGTAGACCAACGAATCTTATGGTCTAAGGAAGTGTTCGAGAAGTTCCTTCCATAATGTGAGAATGTGAGATACTCTTTCCATAATCGTGATATATATAGTCTCTGAAACCTGACCATTGATGGAAAGGTAATTATCACAAGCCAAAATACGTACAGTAAAATGGATTCAAATTACCTGCAGACGAGAACGTACTCGCTAATACTATAGTCTGCTGACGATATGACGTATTGAGACTCTTGAACAGTTAGATTCGCTGTCCTGAAACACATTCGAATCCGAGATGAAAAGTCAAAATGACTATTTCCTAAGACAACAATCTCCTGAGTAACTTCCAAAGAGTGAAACATTGAAGAAAGAAAACATACGATTAGTAACGATAATTCGCAAACGCTATCTTTGTATCTTGTGACTCATATCCTTGAATTACTCAAACTTACTGTGTTAACTACACCCTTGAAACATCTCCCTTGAACAATTTTGAAAAAAAATTGAATTCCATTCTTTGTATCAAACTAATAAAACCACGATCCTTCATTAAACCAAAAGATGCTTTATGATACCGATCTTTGAAAACTTTACTCCGTGAACTACGATCACAACGATGAAAGTACCCTACTTGAATTTTATGATGAACCTCTCTTTGTAAATGTTATTACATTATCTCTAAGGATCATTATCGATAATCTTAATGATCGACAAACTCTATTCTGACCGACTGAAGAAAAAAAATGACGTCACAAGAACCAAACGAAACTGTCCAAGTAAAAAACTCTATTTTCGAACGTCATCACCTATGAATACAAATTTATACAAAGACTCATTAACGATAATGAAAGCTACCATGATGTGAATGGATAAATGTTTCGATGTAAGATCGATGATGACAAGCTACTGTACAATCAATCGACAATACTTCTTTGTAAATGATGACAAATTTCCGATCCTTAAAACCCTGAACCGAGGAAAGGCATTTGATGATACTTATGCACCATTGCTGAACTATGTGAACGATGTGAAGATGTTTTGGATGACTTAAAAGACTACGCTATGATTAATGGATTGAAACAAACGTTAAATCCCCAACTATATCTATTATGAATGTGATGATATGAAACTGCAAATTCTACTGAAATACCTTCAATATGAAAGTCGGTTTACACCCTAAGAGGGGGGTGAATTAGGGTGTTTGCAAATTTTTGATAAAAACAAAAACTTATGCGCAAAGTAGTAGCGGAAAAAGAGCAAGAAAAGTATAAAAGATAAAAATACGACACAAGCGATTTTATACTGGTTCGGGAACTCCCTACTCCAGTACCTCGAGGCTCCTCCTCAAGGATTTAACCTGTAACACCCCAATCCGTATAACCCGGAATTACACGAATTAAGGTGAAACGAGGGATAAATAAAAATTTCGCTTGACATTTGAAAATGACAATTTATTATAAATATTAAATTTACAGACTCTGGATCGCGACCCATTTAAAAATATTTTCAGAGTAATGCAGAAGTACAATAATAATCAAATCATGACATATTTTAAAATATGTTGATCAGACATTTGCCTGCTATCCTTGCATCTCCTCTGACTCAATGCCCTCCGGGAATGGTTCCATCATTATCTTTTTGTTACCTACGTGTAGTCAACGAAAAATACAAACTACACGCTCAGCGAAACCGCTGAGTGGTACCACGCTAGAATTGTAGAATGATTCACAGACGTATACATATACATATATATACGTCCACAAATGTATAATAATATTCATGATATGGCACATTATATCATATGGTCAATTTGATGATTCATGATGATAAATATTCAATAATAATTACATGATGACACAATTAATCAATTTGCTTGTGAGGATGATTACATGATACTCATATAATCAATATACTTGTTCTTGATGATGAATACATGACATCTATGTAATCGATGTACTTGATGATGATAACATGATGCGTAATGGATGTCACACATAGTCATGATGATTTTACTTGATGATGACTTCATGCTGTATGATTCTAAGTCGCAAGGACGAGCCTTGAGCTATGAGATTCGCCCATTTGGTACGACGAACTCACGCAGAAATATGGGTGGTACTTGAAAACCTAAGTACCATGTACGTACACTAAGCCCGATCCGTGATGTCGGACTGCTAAGTCCCGCACAATCACAACTACAAGAGACGCACTTCCGCCTGATCTCTTGCGCATGCACATGATGTGATATGTTTCAATATGGATGATGAAATGAATCACATGATATGAACAATTGGTAAACAACATGATTGGATAAATATACTTTATTTTATTTGGATGAAATCTGATAAAAATATCATTTAATTAAACTACGGGGCTCAGAACGGTCGATCGTTTGGCGGGACGGTCGACCTTGAACTTCATTGCGTCGGGTTGGAGAATCACCGTGACGGTCAACCGTGGTTGACCGGCAGTCGACCGTTGTTGACTGGCTGCGGATGGCGGACTTCGGCTGGACGGGCGGGAGTCGACCGTCAGCCACCAGCGGTCGACCGTTTGGCTGACAGTCGTGGTCTGTTTCAAAGTTTAATACGACGGTCGACCGTTTGCATCGACCGTTTGGGTCTGCGAATCTATCTCTTGATATTTTGAGTATCCAAAAATACTTCTTTAAGTCTTTTAAACACCTTTGATTAATATATTCATATTTTTGGGTTGATTTCAAATGCTTATATATATTCATGTATTTATATAATAACTTTATGGATTTGGTGTATTATGGTTTTAACACAAAGATGACTTATATATGCACCACACATATATTTTGGAATGATTTCAACATATGGATTAACATATATGTTCATGTACGCATGTGTTGAATGATTCGACAAGTCTAACGCAAAGGTACAGACCTGGAAATCATCGACCGAAACCTTACGGATGAGCGGGAGTGGAAACAACATCGAAATTTGCCAACTTTGTCATTTCCGTCACAACTGGACAGCCTGCGGTAATTTGGGCATATCTCCATCGTTTCTTCACGGAATTGCAAACCGTTTGATTCTGTGGATTCCTAAGATGTAAGGCTATAACTTTCGTGAAGAAACCATGTTAAAATGAGTTTAAAGTGGTCAAATATAGCTCACAAGTGGACTCATAGTTGCTGCCAGGATTTTGGATGTTCCGACGAACAACGATTCCGACGATTATCTCATTAACTTCAATATTCTAACGCCGAATCTTCTCTACGATACCTTCCGGATGTTCCTAATAAGTGTTAGAGAGTTTATGGTAAGTTCTTGGAATGAAATAATATGAATTTGGTGAAGAAAAACATGCCAACCCGAGGAGCTCGCCACCACTGGCGCAGTCCCGGTATTTTGGCCATATCTTCTTCGTTACTTAACGAAATCGCGAGCCGTTTGTTGGGCTGGATTCGTATCGTTCGGGGCTACAACTTTGGTTCAAGAAGTATTTCGAGATAATGGATGGAAAATTTCAGAACTTACGTAGAAGTTGATGCTGCGTTTGGAAATCATGATTTGGAAACTTTGGATGGTTTTCTTGCTCCTTCTTCTTCTTCTTCCTTGAGCCAACTATGGAGTTTAGGCTTTCTTTTCCTTTCCTTTTGTTTGGCCGACAGAGAGAGAGGGATGGTGAGGAGGAGAGATGATTGGTGATGTGGGATGGTGGAAGATGATGATGATGTTATGGTGTGGTTTTGGGAGTATTATATAATTATTTGGAGTGTTGTAGTGTAGTGGGTGGAGTGAGGTAGTGGAGAA